CGACAGAATATGTTCGCTTTTATTATCCTGGTGCCTGCTGTTTGGATTATGTACATGAAAACCACCTACCAGCCGCTGCGAGGAGGTGACCCGGCCAGAGGCTGCTATTGTATGGGATTCCTACTGACAGCGCACTGGATTGTAATCTGAATGAACTGACTGCGCTGATTAAGTTTTCAGGTGGATTTTCTCAATTAAAACATATTAAAACTACGTGCTGATGAAGGTTCTCAGTCATCCAGGTCATAGTCATTCTGTAAAAAAAACACTTGGTCCAGTGGATATTTTTTGAATTTTTACGGAATATTAAAACTACTTTATTACCACTGATCACAGCAAATATAGCTGCAAGGCAAAGAAAGGATAGAGTAGCTCCGCCCAACGTGCGTCAGACCCATTTTTCGACCACGCAGCCAGAGTAGCAAAGCTGCTTCAGCCGCACGTCACAACTAAACTGGTACAAGTAGCAAAAAGGAAGCAGCCTTTTTGCTGCTCCTGCTGCGTCCGGTGTGAACGCAGCATTAAAGCTAGCCGGGGTCTGGCACAGAGAAAAGTCCGGTAAGGAGAAAAACACCACAGATTTCAAGAGACATCTAAAAATTATTGACACTGTACAAATTCAAGTTCCCTATTTTAATTCAATAGTGCTCTTTTTCTTTGTCATGAAATTATTCACCTTCTACCGCTCAACAAATGTAATTCAGTTTGTCTCTTGTTCCATCTCGTCCCATATTTCCACTGCACAACAGTGAGAAACAGTTTGAGCAGTTTGTGTTGTTGGAAAACTAAGGCGCATGAGTTTATATCAGTCCTCATTCAGGTCTGATCATCCAAAATATTTATTTTATGGGATGGACTTAAACATTTCAGCACTCTTTAAAACCTCCATATAAGTGTTAGATGCCTGACTGGTAATTAAACTTGGTAATTAAACTAGTAATTAAATTTGATTTGGATAGAAACAACATTATAGTCATAAAAAACAGTTCAGGAGGGCTTTAGTACTGTATTAACCCCATGTTGAGTTCCAGAGGACTTTCTAAGTATGACAATCCTGTTTAAAATCTGTATAGAACTGAAAATGAGGGTTTCATACAGTTTTTTTGCTTTTTTTCCCCCTCTGTCTTCATCTCTTGGTCCCCCTTCCTTCCCTTTCTTTTGAGAGAAAGGAACAGCTGGACGTGAGCTGAACCTGAACTTGATCTCTTCATATCAGCAGGCCTCAGAGGCCCTTTTCTGTGACTGCTGTGTCCGGCTGTAGGGGTAAACCCCTTGTAACTGTGCAGCTGTCCACAAAATGGACATAGTATGTGCTTACTCACTATGGACTGAAATCCCTTGCCTGGACTTTTTGTAATCCACTATAGACATAACATAACTTGCCGAGCTGCAGCAAAACTGATGGTTCTTCTTAGCTTTAACCAAACTAAGTCCAACCCAGCTTTGAATAGGCTTGGTGCAGAACACCAGCACTAGGAAAAGGTAGCCGTTACTATAAGGGGTCCTGTAGGGTCTGTGAACACACAGAGTCCGCTTTAAAGACTGGCACATGTAAGAGTTTGCCTGCTGGAGTGCTCACATTTGAAGGCTTTTGTATATATAAATGTGTGTTTGGAGCAGATGGGTACAGGCAAGCCTTTGTGAGGCTTTTGGGGAGGAGAATGAAAATCCACTAAAGATGTCAGCAGGCAGCTGGCAGAGAAAATGGCTAAAGAACTTAGGGTAAAGAAAATTAAATGAGATCAGCATAAACAAGCCAAGCTGGGTCTTTGCAAGAGTGCTGCTGTAATTTAGTTTTCTAACACGATCAGGCCAGGTTGTTGTGTTTTCTGAAAGCTGGGCGGCTTTGGTTGTAACAGCAACAACAAAAAATCTACTACCAAACTGATACTGAATAACACTTCATTTGAATTCTTCATAAGGGTAAAGTTATTCTGCAGTGGTTCAGAGCTGGAGTAAAAATGCGCCCAAGAGACCAAAGCTTTTTTTTTTTGTCCTCGGCCCCAGCAGAGATTACACAACTATTCCTGTATGATCTGTGACATACAGTGACTAATAGTCAACAACCTCTGGTGTCAGACTATAAAAAAAATGTTATTTTAATGATGAGTTATTATTAAATGTTATTATAATGACTGAGAGAAATTCCTATGAACTTAAACATGTTATGGAATAACATGTACCATGGCAACCTGGCAGGGGTACATGCATTAGTTTTGTTTTAATGTAAATTGCTAAAATTATCCAAGTATGACTAATAGAGATGTTTTGATTGAACTCAGAACCTCTGGATTCCAAGCTCTATGCCCTAACCACTAGGCTACTACTGGTGATAAATCCTGATTTTCAACATTGCAGTTCCTAATATTGATTTTTTTTAAAAACAAAATATTTTTACCTAAAACAATGAGTGTAAATGGTCTCCCTCTGCACCCCCACTCTGATGTGGCGCTGCGTCGCCACATCTGTAGTTGAAGCGGTCAGAGTGGATGACGTGGACTAACTCCATAACAGCATGGATACCAAACTAACTAAATGATAAAAATCTCCTGATGAACATTTAGAGTATTTGCTTCTTCATCTATGAATTTCATTATGATAGCTGGGAAAAATATTCTGATATAAAGTGATATTGCAATATTGTGATAATATCGTGTTGTGACACGTATTATATCCAATACCATAGCAACAAGCTGTCTTATTAAGTAGCTGCCTATAGATTAGTTATTATGCAGCTGTAAGTAGATTTTGGAAATCATGGAACTTAAAAAATAATTATAGCAGAATGCTTAAATAATATTTTTATTAACATGACAACTTGGAATGTGATTTATCAGCAGCATCACTGATATTTCTTAAATAAGTATGCAAATAAATCCCAATTTAATAACTCCAATGTTCTGCGGACATGACATCAAGCGCATCCATGGTAAATGGGTCCAACAAGGCCAACAATAGAAGCTGCCTTGTGGCAAGAAGGTTCTGGATTCGATTTTCGGCCTGGGATCTTTCTGCATGGAGTCTGCATGTTTTCACTGAGCATGTGTGGGTTCTCTCTGAATACTCTGGCTTCCTCCCACAGTCCAAAAGCATGACTGTTAGGTTAATTGGCTTCTCTAAATCCTCCTTAGATGTGAATGCTGCTGCCATCAACACCTTTGTTTCTAGATGTTGGAGCTTGGCCTGTTTTCCAGTTTAGTCCTGTTTCTCTGACT